AATCTAAGAACACATGGTTCTCTTCATTGATCATATTGATCAATCATACAATCAGATAGATATCATCTAATTGTTCCAAAGTCTATTAGATCATGTGAAGCAACAACAACAAAAAGAAAAAGAGAAAATTTTCGACAAGTCTTCGTATGCATCTTGGTTTACTTATGACTTGAATGCAATGTTCTTTCACCTGTAATGCCTGGAGGAATTGTTTCTAAATAGCTTTTGGCTATAAAATTAAAAACAGGTACCGGGCTATCACAAGTGCTTATTATAGAGGAGCAGTTGGTGCCTTACTTGTTTACGATATTACTCGCCATGTAACATTTGAGAACGTTGCGAGATGGCTCAAGGAGCTCAGAGATCATACAGACCAGAACATTGTCGTCATGCTGGTCGGGAACAAGGCAGATCTCCGCCACCTGCGTGCTGTTCCCACTGACGACTCAAAGGGATTTGCAGAAAGAGAGAATACCTTCTTCATGGAAACCTCTGCTCTTGAGGCGCTGAATGTTGAAAACGCTTTCACAGAAGTGTTGACTCAGATTTACCGGGTGGTTAGCAAGAAAGCTCTTGATGCAGGAGATGATCCAGCATCTTTGCCTGCAGGACAAACGATCCACATTGGAAATGATGTATCTGCTGTTAAGAAGGGCGGTTGTTGTTCCGGTTGAGCAAGGATCAACCACTCACTACTACATTTCTCAGAATGCAGATATATGAACTGCAGAAAAATGCAGGAATGCTGAGAATTTCAGGTTTCCTGTACAAAAATTGTATAGCACTCCCCACTCTACGACTGTAATTTAGCGGAAAGAAAAATTTGAGGAACCGAGGTGGGGAAATGGGGGATGGAAGTAAAATTTTGCTTAAGAACCATTTGTTGTCTTTTCACAAGTGTACAATGGCATTAAGAACATTTCAGCTGTGAAAATGGTAAGGTAACTTATCCACGCTACACAGAACGTCAACTGACAACAACTCAAAACTACAGTATTATTGATATGCACATCTACTGTACAGGAAATAAGTATCAAAACTCTTCTTAACAAAAAACAACTCAGGATACTATTGTTTTTCGTGTTGCATTGTTGAACTCATTGCAGGAAACAAACGGTCGAGGGAAAAAAGCACACTTGACTTGCCTAGACTCTCAGCGGGCACCAGCAGATTTTGGTCTTGGTACACATCCTATTACAATTTTGGTGTTTCTTTTTCAAGGAAGCAGATGCACTGAATTTGCCCAGGAATTAGTTGTTAGCAGTGAATGCACTTCCATCCGCATAGAGCTTGCAGCAAGTGAAATTTAAGAAGCCCGTAGGGCAGAGGTTGGAGGGGAGGGAGAGACTTCAGCTATTCATGAGTAACTTGTTTCATTGAGTAAAGAGAGTCTGTGCCATCCAAAAGACAAACATACTCAGAAACAAGAACTAATTTACTTTAGATGAACAACCAAACAAAACAAAGAAAAAAGAGATAGTTGCACCATCCCAATGGCAGAAGTTCATTCACTGTATTCTTGTCCCTCCAAATTAGACGAGAATAGTAAAATAACGACAGAAGTCAGAACACACTAACAATCATGATTTTTCTTCATTATTATTCTCTGCTTATTTTTTCACAAAATATCACAATGATTAAACAACATAAACCATTGAGCACATTCAAGACTACACAATTCGTGGTAAAAGCTAGCATACAATTCAAGTCTTTCAAAAGTGCTTTTCAAATTGATTAGCCAAACACAAATGGTCTCTCACCAAAAATACTTTTTGTAAAAGCACTTCCGTAAATCAAAATAAGTTGATTTCAGAAGCTTGGCCATGCTATATATCAGGTAGGTAAGATTATGGCAAGAGAAGGCTGCCTATACAAGCTTAGTCAACTAAAAACATTATATTTACTCTACATTCTTTTGTTTTTGGGAGCAAGGTCATTTTACTCCACCCTCTTTACATGGGAAAGAGTAACCCAGAGACCTCTTAATTCTCTATCTCATTTTCAGTTCCTTTATCTGAACTACTTGCGAATTGGAGGCAGTTGTGGAGTAGAATCAACTTATGGTTACAGAGACCTATTATCCAATTCGCAACATGGGAACAACACATGGAATGGGTGATAAAGAATGCAAAGGGAAGAACAATGAGAGCTCAAGCTTTTAAAATTGTACACACTGAATGTGTCTATATGTGTAGTGTTAGAGCACAGTTTCTACGCAACTTATTATTCTAGCTAAAGATTTGTTGAACACTACACATATATGCTATCTCTCGGGCAATGACTTCATAATCTCTGGCTTTCTTCTCAAAGACTAGCTGGTTCCGCTCTAACCATATGGCATAGACACATTTAGTGTGTACAATTTTAAAAGTTTGAGCTCTCATTGTTCTTCCCTTTGCACTCTTTATCACCCACTCCATGTGTTGTTCCCATGTTGCAAATTGGAAAATAAGTCTCTGCAACCATAATAGGATACCAAATTGACAAGTTGAACACATGAGACACGGAACTTTAAAGACAAGGAAAAGAAATAACTTCTAAGCTTGTCATCTTTCCTCCTATAAATTCAAGAGATAATGACCCCACATGGGAATTGAAACTGAGAATGTATTATGCCAGTTCATGCTAGAGCCCAACATGGTACAAGGAACGAGAGTGGAGAGCTGAGGAAAGAACTAAGGCAATTCAGAGAAACAGTAGCTAGTAGATATTCGCAAACAAAGAATGGTGGTGTTGACTATCTGATTTGGTAATGAGATCACATCTTCTCTTTCGGAAAAGCATAAAACTTGTAATAGACAAGGAAAAAATATAGTCAAGGATGAGGTGGTCCAGACAGGACAAAAACAATTAGCACTTGGGATGATATTTCACTAACAAGATGTCAATCAACACTTAGAGGGTCAATAGAATGTATATGCGCAGTTGCTCATCTAATGATCAAAGCTAAAAGGCAATGGCGATTAAAGTAACACAGCATAACAAGAGGCCGTTATGGAGATAAGATTCTCTGTGTGGGGAGAGTCGAGTCAAAATCCTGTCAAGAGCTTCCATGTATAATATGCTTCTTTCAATTACTAGTTGCTTGCTACATTCCAACTGAAAATAAGAGGCATTAGGCAATGCATCCAGAATTAGATTGACGCTTCTCCAGACAGGCTTCATTTATTTACAGCAAAGATCTCCCATTACATATGGATAAAGAGATCATAGGAAGTATATTAACTCTACATGTTTATTTGTTCCTTCCCAAGTTCACATATACAAAGAGCAAAGCAGCTACATTCTGTTCTCAGCAGGATAAAATAGGTGAATAGAAATGCATAAATGGTCAGATTTTTAATATTACATTCAACAAAGCAAATGAAACTATAAAGTAAGGTCAGGGATTGGATAAGCAACAGAGAGGGTTTCGGCATATGATGTCTCAAACAGACATGATAGACATACATAAGAACTCCTGATCTTTCATACAAGCATGTACATAAAAAGATCAAAGATATTGCAAGACTTCAGAGGCATATTTAAAAGAAAGAGAACATGTGGGATTTTCAGGATTTCTGTCCTCTCGTTAATGAGATAAAAGGCAAGAATGGCAATCTTCGGCGTAAAAGGAAAAGAATAAAACATGAACAATCAAAAAGGATTTAAACTTATCTACAAAAAAAAAAAAAAAAAAAAACAAAAGAAAGAAAGGAAGGAGGGTCAGCAGTTTCACTTCTGTCCACATGAGTTGAAGGGTAAATAAATGAAAGAAAGAAAGAGGATTCAAATCTGAACTTCTTCTCCTTGAGGTACCGTCCTTGTCCAGAGAAGATTGATTCTTTAAAATCAACTGGTAAAGTAGCAAGCTCTAAGAGGCTGGAATGTAAACGAAGCACACTTTCTCGAACGTGTTCTAGACTGCGAAATATCCTTAGAGATGATATTGACTTATCTTGGACGAGAGTTACAGAAGGGTGACAAAAAGGGCATTTTGGCAGCCAAAATTCACACACAAAAGACAATTGTCACTTTTTGGATGGTAAAAATTATTTTAAGCTTCCAATTTTAAAATTACTAAGCCACATTTACAACTTCTAATTCGTTCTCAGACAACTAAGAAAACATGGAAACAGTCCTTACTCCTTTGGTGCTCCCAATCAACCTTCAATCCATTCCTTACACTTCATTTGGATGGCTGTTACGCATTTTTTCATAATGTATCAAATTGTGTTGTTTTGTGTTGTATTGTATCGTTTGGTATTGTTTTAATGAATACAACGTTTGGACAGATTGTATCATTCTCCATCCTTACATGTCACACATAATCTACAAGAAAAATAGGGTAATGACGTGATCACACCAAATTGGTCATTGACTTCTCGTCGTTACCCAACGGATTTAACAATACGACACGATAAAATTTAAGTAACAATCATAAAAAACATTGTCTTTAAACTCAAACAAACCCCCAAACCTACTAATTGAAAAGGATGAATAGACAAATAAATCATCAAGCATGCCTTCAACCTAAGAAAGAGGGTTGAATTAGCCAAATTCTCTTATAAATGAAATGAAATTTATAAAAAGTGGATATAGAGAGTTCATCTAATCGATCCAAAGTGATTCAGGCATATTGTAAATGTAACCGAGCATAGTACAAAAACTCATTTTTTTTTTAAAAAAGAGTTACTCTGGCGCATTAGTCTTCCCATGTAACCTCCGTGTTTATAAAAACTAGGCATAATACATAAACGTGTATTTTAACTTGGATTCAGTAGCTCACATCTATGCCCTCCAATTTTGGGTGTGCATAAGTAGGCAAAGATGAACACACTCTATATACTCGGATCAATTTGTATTATGCCATATATGGACGTATGTTTCTACTTGTTCAACTTCATATGAATTTAAGTGTTTTCCAGCTAAGACTAGGCAAGTTTATGTATTATGCCTAAAAACAAAACAAGATCGAACAAAAACTGCGAGAAATTCAAGTTTCTAAAACGAACCTAAAATGAAATTGTCGTCATCATCAATTTCTCTTAACCTCCGGAACAGAAGCAACATCATCAGATGACGAAGACGAAGATGAAGAAGCATTTTTAGCATCCGACTCTTCGTGCTTAAAAGAGGGCAAAGGATTAGAGCCTTTGATAATCCAACCAAGGGCGTAAAATGAAAGCCCAGCTAAAATTGCAGTTCCCCAAGCGTGGGAATACCATTTGCTGTACTGCTTGATAGCGAATCTCCATTGCTCTCTCAGTGTCGCGGCGTCTGGGTTCGTACGATCCGGAGGGTTTGGAAAGTGTGGAGCGCCGGAAAATCCACCGTTAGATGATCCGCCGGAGATTTTGGGTGGATTTGTTGACGGCGGTGAAGAGAAGTTCTCGGTGGGTTTAGGTTTTTGATGGTCAGCCATGGTAGAAGCTTAAGGAAGAGGTGATAGAATCAAACTAATCCAAATACTATATATTTATTGGTTTTGACATTTGATTCGGTTCTACGGTAATTAATCATACACAAAAATAAATTAGTTTGCAAGTAAATACTTTTCGTCTTAATTTATGTAGCATTTTTTGAATTTTGAAATTTAAATAAATCTATTAATATTGAGATAGTTCAATCTAAATCAGTTATTGTTATTTCTCAAAGTAAATATGCCTTAGACATTTTTTTAGGAGACAAGAATGACGGGATGTAGACCTATTGACACTCCTATGAATTCGTATGTTAAATTCCTTCCCGACAGAGAAAGTCACTTAGTATTCATGAAAGATATAGACGGTTGGTTGGAAAGTTGAATTATTTCACAGTGACTAGACTTAACATCACTTTTGTTGTGAGTGTTGTAAGTCAGTTTATGATTTCCCTTGTGACTATGGGTGTGTAATGATCGACTCGGTTCAATTTTAAGTATTATCGGTTCAGTTTATCATTTTTTCTATTTTTAAATATGCTAAAACGATAACCAAACCAATAAGATATTTGTTATCGATTTTTTGTCTTTAACGGTTAGATTTTCGATTTAACCAATAAGAAAATGATTTCAAACCAAATATAGGACTTGTCCAACAATTTTGACACGAAATAAAAAAGAGAGAAATCAAATTACTCATTGAGTGCAAAGGTTCTGCTTAGTGTAGTAAAAGTAAAGCAAATACTCACAATTTACAATCCTAGTCATTGTTTAACCCTTGCCGTCGTTGTTTCAAACCCTGCCCGTCGTCGTTCTTAGTTCTTTAGGTTTTGACGTTGTGAACCTAAAGACTAAAGTAATACTAATACCTAAAGGGTAAATGCAGATAACAGAGTCAAATAGTATTAATTGTGTAGGGTTCTTATAGTTATAGTCTAATATAGTTACTATATTAATATTTTTTGTTTGATATTTATGTATAACTAAAAGCTAATATAGTAAACAATTATATTCTTAATGGGTTATTGGTTAACCCAATACCCACTATTAAAAAACCAATATGAAACCGATAATCTAATAATGTTTTTATAAAACCAATAAATAAACGTTAACCCAATAACTCAATAACAATAAACGAATAACACTTTTTCAGTTCGATTTATCGGTCGATTCGATTTTTGCACACCCTATTTATGATAGTCATTGGAATCATTGTCGGTGATAACAATATCAACATAAACAATCAAATAAATACATTGATTTGATGCAGAATGCCGATAAAATTACAGAGGTGATCATCTCCATTACGAGTCATGTCAAAATGCTGAATTACTGTGTTGAACTTCTCAAATCAGGCTCGAGAAGAATGTTTCAGACCATATAGTGCTTACGTGAGGGTGCACGTGCACCCATTAACTTCGAAAAAAATTATGTATATATATGTGTATATATAGCTTGAATAGGTGATATATTTTATTAGACTTTATTTGATACTAAAGTTAATTGGGTCTATTGGTTTCAACCTTTGGTTCATTTTTAGGTGATGGAACTGGGTTCGAATCCCACTTACTATATTTCTTTTTGTTATTTTTTCGTAAAAAGATTGGATAAAAATAAGGGGCTGATAGTTTCGAACTTGCGACCTCATGGTGCTAAGTAAAATTAAAAACCAACACTTCACAAAGTAAACTTTATCTACTATAGTTATTTAACTTGAATTTATAAGTTATTACGTTAGTTTTATATTTCTATGTTTAATAAAAATATATAGTACATGAATCGATATTGGGTGACATGTTTTAACTAACGTGCATTAGTTATTGATAGTACACTTATCGTCTTCAAATCCTAGGTTCGCCTTTGGTCACATAATACTCGTAGAATATCATTTAAGATGCAAATTGCCACATAAGATGACATAGTTATTTAACTTTATAAAAATTCAAGTGTCTTTATGCATACCCAAATTAGAGGGCATAAATGTAAGCTACGGTTAAGTTAAAAAGTATATTTATGTATTAGGATATAATTAACTATAAAAAATATGTATATAATTTATTGGTTCACTTCAACGTTTTTTTAATAAAATCAAAATCAAATATTATCGATTTTTAAAACTATTAAACCAAATAAAATTTATTTATATAGTAAGTTCGAATCCATTTTTATCCAACCGCGAACACCCCCAAGCAAAATGTTATTATATATACTAATATTTGACGTTTAGATATGATTGCTTGCCAAATATTTTTCTTTCTGTTAATGTATATATAACTTAGAATAAGTGACTATGAGCAGTAAAAGGTTTTCCATGCCAGAAATCACTTGGTAGTAGAAACAAGAAACCAACATCTAAAATTAGAAATAAGAAAGAACTAAAACAATCAACCTTAATCAACATACTTAATGAAAGAAACATATAAGCATTTTTATGTAGTTAACATATTAATGTTCTCGCGTAACTTATAAAGTTGTTGTCACGTGACTATTAAAATGTTATAGCCTTACAGGTTCGAGCTGTGGAAACAGTCACGGTAGACATTGTAGCTTCTGTACAAGAGCATCAATGTAAGAATCCTCAAGTCCTTTACTCAACAAACTACTAGGAGGTTACAGTCTTACAGGTTCGAGTTGTGGAAACAGTCTCTTGCAATCAGAGTAGACATTGTAGCTTCTGCACTAGGGCATCAATGTAAGAATCTTCAAGCCCTTTACTCAACAAGAACTCTCTCCACTTTGCGCGATTCACTCTTATTTTACGCCCCTCTTCACTCTCATCATTCATTACCAATTTGATTGCCTTACAAACTCCATCTCTAGTGAAAGATCCATTTTCTTCATTTCTCTCAACTTCCACTCCAGCTTTCAAGTCTCCACCAAACAATCTTGAATTAATGAATTGATCACCAAAATTTGGTACTAAAACCAATTGACACTCATTAATCATCGCCTCCGATAACGAGTTCCCGCCACAATGAGTGACAAAACATCCAACAGAAGGATGAGATAACATCAATTGTTGCTCTGCCCATCCTGAATGAACAATGCCTTTCCCTTGTGTTCTCTCTTTGAAACCTTCCGGTAATGCCTCTTCGATTGTCTCAGCTTCAATAGGCGGTTTTAAAGCAGCGAAAAACGGATAACCAGTAAGTTCAAGTCCCAAAACCAGTTCTTGAAATTGATCTTTCTTGAGATTACATTCACTACCAAATGCACACAAAATAACCGTCTTTTCTTTGAATTTTTCGAGCCATTTTGACCAATTTTCCTCTGTATTTGAACTCTCTATTGGTTCGGGCAAAACTGGCCCGGCTAACACAACTGGTTTCTTGAACTTATGCTCAACAAATTCACAATAAGGTCCTTCTATTTCTCGAGTAGTTTTGAATGCAATGGCATCCCCGTCTTGAAAAGCCAAAAGCAAACGTTGAGTGAACGATACAGAGCCAGAGCCAGAACCAGAACCAGAACCAGAGTTACTAGAATTCTTCCCCATCGAATGTAGAGCTACGATTAAACGAGCTTCATGTTTGTGGAGTTTGATTGATGAATCAATAGGAAAACCAGGTGGAGGTTCCATCATTTCAGCTTCTGAAGATGGATTTTCGCCACGCATAAGATAACCAACAGATGATGGAGTAATAGAACAGTAATGCACAGACTTAACTTTGTATTTTCGAGCAATGGATGGAACCCAATAAGCAAAATCATAGAAAATGAAATGGGGTTTGATTTCTTGAATTAAAGATTCAATCTTTGGTAATGTAAGATCCAATGCTTGACAAAGAAGATTCTGATTGAAAATAGGAACATCTGAAGTTGTTTCAGCTCCCAGTGGGAGTCCATCAACATGTGGAACTGTGACGGATTTGAAGTTTATGAGTTCAGGATAACGATTGAATTTTTCTAATTTGGAAAGTGTGTTTGTAGGATGGACAAAGAAAATTTTGTGGCCTCTATGTGCAAGTTTGTTGGATAGATGAAGAAATGAAGTAAGATGTCCCATGGCATACCATGGATACATAATAAAAGTTAATTTCTTGTCCTCCATTTTATCTTCTTTGATCTGCAAATCAACAATTTCGTATCAGAGTTTAAGTTTTATATACTGACAGTGTAAATTATTTACTCAATCCGACCGCTTATAATGTAAATTACAAGTAAATATGTTGATAAGCATTGATCACCTTTTTCTAGAAAATTCATGAGCGTTACACACGGAAAGTTCAAATAATCATGAATACGCATTTCAAGACTCCAAAACACTAAAATAAGAAATGTGACTTAAATTCTTTTGTATAAAAAAACAAGACTAGAAGTTGGAAATTAGAACTACTCGTCACTTTTTAACAAAAAATAATTAAATGGGAGTACTTTGTACTAACACATCAATGCCATAGTTGCACAAACACAAAGTATTAGTACTATCTAGTATGTGAGCTTCATATGGTTCATTCTAATGAATTTGCACTCCACAAATGCAACAATTAACCGATCTGAGGTGGAGCCAAAATTTTTAGTTTGCAGGTTTTTGAGCACAATTATGTTTGTTTACTAGGTTCTTGATAGGAGATTTTTTTTAACACAAATACAAATATTGAGCTAAAACTATTGAATTATGCCGAATCTATAAGTATGAATGGATTATCTTAGGCAATACGCTATTAAAATTTAATTTTGGGAAAATGATACCAAAGTAAACCACAAAGAGAATGTAAGATGGGGTCTTCCTATTTTTAACAAGAAAAGAAACAAATAACAAATTAATAAAAGTTACAATGGGATGAATTGGATCCATCCAATCTTAATCAAAATATGGAAAATATTCTAATAGGGAGTGTATCTATTTAAATGAGTGTTACGCTATGTAAATTTACCATATATAGATATCAGACATCAAGTGAGAAATAAAAAAAAAAGGGGGCTAAAGAGTTACCAATTCTTTTCTATCATCAAGTAGAGTTGTTGATTCAAATCATGAAAATGAGGAAACTTCTGAGAGGAAATACTGCTCCTTTAATG